CCCACCCCCCAGTTTCATGCCACTGCCTCCCACTGGCCAAATCCAAGCAGAAGCCAAAAGGCATGAGACTGGATGATGCAATTCATATGACCATCCTCCAAGGGCACAGATCTGGATTGAGAAGAATGAAGAGTATAAATGGAAGATAATCAGCACACTGAGGAAAAGAAAGCCAGAAACGGCTTTCATCTGAAGGCTTAGGGAACAGAAATCAAGAAAGCTTGCAAACAATCTCTGCTTTTCTGATCAACCAGATCTCTCCCATAAGGTCACATGCCTAGAGCCCAAGAACCTGCTTGAATGGTCTGGGTAGGAGGAAAGGGTAAGGCTGGAGAGGGCCAACACAGGGAGAAATCAATGAACAATATCTGGAAATACTATCTCAGCAATATAAGCACATTTTGAATCATCTGGACGACCACCTTACAAGCTATTATTGCCACAAAATTTCAGGGCCTGCATTTACATTTAAAAATTAACCCCAAGCATTTATTTGTTCATTAACTCCTAAATTCAATAAAGATTTATTGAGTACCTACCACGTGCCAGGCAATGTTCTAGATACCAAGAACACAACAGTGAAAAAGGCAAAGGGCCCACCTTCAAGGAGTAGACATTCCAGTAATATAGTTCCTTTTTACTATTATGGGCTAATGAACAGAGGTGGGATTTCATAATACAATAATCATTTGGGCCAAGAGAAGTCTAAATTGTATCATAATGTGCTATACAAATCTAGGATTTTCACAGTTCAAAGAGAAAACAATAATGTGGAAATGAAATCATCACATAGCAGTTAGAAATACCAAAGTAAAAAGAATCAATACTGTGTTTATACTGTCTCCATTTCAACAAAGTCATACTAATTGTCCATTATTAATTTTATTTGAGGACTTAATTTGTGTATTTGCTTTTAGTTCTACAGTTATATCAGTATCATAAGGCATGCTTATGTCATACATCTAGTTTTATGCTTGTTTACTTAAGAAACATTAAAATAATTTTAGTCAACACAAGGGGTCTATGTCGGACTTGATGCTATTCAAATCTCAGCTTCCCCACCTACTAGCAGGTTATTTGATCTGTATCATTCTTGATCTCAGCCTCTATGAAATAATGAAAATATTAACACATCTTAGGGACTGTACCAGGAACTAAATGAGATAATGTGAAAGATTGTCTGGCACTTAGCATATGCATAGAAAATTCTAAGTCCCTTCCCTTTCTCATAACATTTGGAGAATGGGTGATAAAAAGAAAATATTTAAAATGGGAAACTAATAAAGCCATATCTTTAAAGAACTCCTTCCTCTCAAGAAAATGAAGCCATAATTTAGCCTGGAAATTTCCAGAGTCTCAACAACTAAAAAAA